AAGTGCATTCCAATTCTAATGAGGAATGTTTGTTTAATGATCATTCCGACCAAGAACATTCCTTTGAAGAACACCCTTTGGAACCACCTTCCTCTGCTGAAGAACGCTTATGTACGGACGGGCCCAGTGAAGAACCGCTTCTAGAAAATCTGATTGATTTGTCAGAGCACACGCTTGAAGAACAACCTAATCCCTGTGGTGGCAATCCTACTGAAGATCAACCTGGCGACCTGCGTGAACACGCGTGTGTTGAAGAAAATCCGGAATTTTCGGAGCTTCATCCTATTGAAGAACAGCCGAAAGACGATGATCACCTGAGTGAGGAAGAACAGTCACTTGGATGCCATTCTTCTGATTTACGTTCAACAGAAGAGCAACTCGGTGAACATTTTATTGTAAACGAACATGACAACGAATCCCTTCAAGAGCAACAAACAAATGAAGAACTTTCTGTAGGCCAGGATGTGGGAAGCCAGTTGGATGAAGAACAGGACTTTGAGAAGAAATCGGAAGAAGAGCAAGACACTGAAGAATACTCGAGTAAAGAACAAGATAATGAAGAACAGGCGTTTGAAGAACAAGATACTAAAAATCAACCAAGTGAAGAGCAGAACGGCAAGAAATCAATGTGTGGACCTCAGCTCGAGAAAGAACAGTCTGTGAAAAGATCGGAAGACCACCTCACCAAAGAACAAGGAGTGGACGACGGCACAGGCGAAGAACATCCTTGTGAAGGCGAATCCGGTGAAGAACAAGTGGGTGAGCTAAAAGCGGGTGCCGAGCTGGACGTCGCTGACCCCGTAATTGAGATAGATGTGGGTGAGCGAGCAGCCGGCAGTGGTGAGACTGCCACGGCTGACGTAGACGCTGACCGTATCAGCATCGTCAGCGCTGATGACAAAAGTGGATGCTCTGCCGACGTCCCGATAGCGGGATGAGGGTAATTATGTCGACCTGGTTAGCGGCAGTGACAAGCAGTGAAAAAGCGGTTTGGCACCCACGGGCCCTGGGCAGGGAGAGTGACGTAATCTAACATACCATCCGGTCCAGAGAGCGACGCTGGCAGTGGTTCTCCTGTGGACGGCGAGGCGGGTGATTCGTCGGCCCTCTGTTGTCTAGAGCAAGATTGTCACGACGAAGAGCGGGTGCCTGAGGAAGTGCGGGGCGGGGAGGAACATCCCTGTAGGCGATGATGTGCTAGGCAGGGAGGCGGAAAGGGCGTGGGCAAGCGCAGAGGTGCAAGGCGTAACCAAAGAAGAACACGACGTCGACCCTCGTACGTACGCAGTAAGCTCGCAGGAACAGGTGGATGACGGTGGTGGGGAGTCCTCGACCGATGACGAGACTCTCTGAGGACGCCAGAGCGAACCGCGTGAGCCCGCGAGCCCTTCGGAAACCCTCCCGTCGGAGGAGATAGAATCTAGTCCCGTCGGCTCCCTTGGCCGAGTCAGCCAGGAGGAGGCTTTTGAAGCCGCGACACCAAAGAAGCAGTATAAGGAATCGGAAAAAGACAGCGGGCCAGAGGAGCTCCAGCAGGAGGAGGGCGCAAGTGGTTGTGTTCCCTGTGGGAGCCGGGTCGAGCGAGGGGAGTGCTGTTTGTGTGCGTCCGCCGCGAGTGCAGGCGAGAGGCCAGGCGGCTATATAGTGGAGTGCCAGGACAGAGGCACTGTGGTGGTTGGCGTTCGAGGCGTGACGTTCGTGGAGCCTTTGCCGTTCCGCGATCGCTATTCTCCCGAAGTGTCGATCATCTGGGAGGAAGATAAGAAGCCGGAGAGTCCTGTGACGCCGCCCCTGGCAACAAGCCGGAAATTGCCAAAGACTCGTCGCTGGAAGGGGACTTCGACTCGATTACGCTCGAGGACGTTGCTGCCGATGCTGTTCGGGAAAGCGTTGCTGAAGGTCAGCCTGTGGTCAGCAGCGATATCCTTGATGTCCCGACGGAATTCGCTGACGATCTTGCACTGGCTTGCACAAACGAGGAAGTACCTGGCGTGAGTGCAGGGGAGGCAGGGGCGACAGACGAGTTCCCGCCACCTACCGAAGGAGACGCAGACATATCATCTTCCTCGCTAGTGGCACCAGCAGAGGTCGAGGAGGCGGCAGAGTTGGCGGAGACTGCCTTGGGGAATCTCCAAGAGGAGGCCACTCGCACCGACGACGAGTGTTTAACAAGTGTTGCTGTGCAGGACTCGCTAAGCTTCCGTGTGGGTGCGGGAGAAGCTGACGAAGTGAATGAAGTGAACGGTGGCAGAGCAGAAGAACCGATCGTTGAAGTTGTCGTGAGCACGGCCGAGGAAACTGAAGCGAATATTATTGCGAAAGAGTGTGAAGTGAGAGGAGAAGAGGCGAGTGGCGATCACGACGCAGGTGGCGGTGATAATGAACTTATCAGGGGAAGTGATAAGTGCGGCGAAGTGAGCGAGCGTGACCGGGATGAGATAGGGCGCGAGGAATCCCCGGATGAGTGCGCTGGCGAAGGCGAGGGCGAAGAAGAGAGGCGAGGGAATAACGATGAGGTCTTGGAAAGTCTCTTGATGTTGAGAAGTGCAAATAGTGTGGAGTGTGATGAGGAGTGGAGTGCTGTTGACTTAGTCGTGAGTGAAGCGAGAGGTGACCAAAGTTCTCAAGAAAAAGTGGTAAAAGTCAGTGTTAAAGTGATTGAAGAGAATTCTTCCCAAAGGGAAGCCAGTGCTGATTTAAAAGCTGAAAATCCGCCGCGTGCCGACTCGTCCGCAGCTGAGGCTTGCGCCGAAGCTCCCAAAGCGACCATGAGCGACTCGAGTAACCGCGACTCCGGCACGAGTTACTTGAGCGAGGGCGAGGACAGCGACGACGACACCCTGGAGGGGCGCAACAGCGACGGCGACGCCATGATGGTGAGCAGCACGGACGAGGGTAGCAACGGGAGCGGCGGCAGCTCCGGCGGCGGCACGGGCGGCACGGGCGGCAGCGAGGCCTTCAGCAAGTCGCACCGGCGGGAGGACAGCGGTGTGGAGGTGGGCCTCGAGGCGCCCTCGCAGCTCCTGTACGGCCCGGTCACGCCACCCCGGCAGCGCCACGCCTCGTGCGACACACAGTCGGAGGCCGACCCCAACGACACGACGCTGACGGGGCCAGAGGGCGGCAGCGAGGCCTCCGAGGCCGAGGACGGCGGCGAGGGGACCCTGAGGTTCCGCCGCAGCCGCAGCCACCAGTTCCGCATGGGGCGGAGGTTCAGCAGCGGACACAAGATGATGGAGAAGGTGCGGAAGGCCGTGCACTTCGGCCGCAAGACGCTGCTCGACGACTCCGCCATCGACGTCCACAACACCAAGCACGACGCCAACAACGCAGCAAGGTAAAGGCCCGGGGCGTTTCGTTTGGTTTCTCTCGCTTTCTCTCCCTCTTCCCCCTCTTCCTCTTCCCTCTTCCCTCTTAAAATAAATACATACACACCACTTACTCACTCACTCACTCATTTTCACTCATTCACACACACTCACACACACACACACATTCACACACTCACTCACCACACTCACTCAACATTCACACGCACTCACATTCACATTCACACTCACACACACACACTCACATTTACACACACACACATTTACACACACACACACACACACACACACACACACACACACACACACACTCTACACTCACACACACACTCACATCACACTCACATTCACATTCACACAACACACACACACACACACACACACACACACACACACACACACACACACACACACACACACACACACACACACACACACACACACACACACACACACACACACACACACACCTCGACATTCCATTACGTATCCTGTGTTCCTTGAGGTCACAGAAGTGCAGAGGAAGCTCGGACTTCGCAGGTCTCCATTATTTCGCGAAGTTATGATGAATCGTCACGTCTCTGAAATTCTTTTCTTCCTTGCTTACACTTTTCCCATGAAACAATGCTTGCATTTGCAAACAAAGGCAAGAATGCCATCTCTCTCTCTTCTGGATCTTTTGTTTATTGCTTGTGAAGATGTGTATTTGTTTGGGTGTTTTTGTTGTCTCCCTCACATTCCAAGACTTTGTTTACAGGTTTTAAGCTGATTATGAATGTAGGCCTAACTACTTGTACTTCCAGTCCCGGTTAGGCCCAAATAAATATATTATGCAGACCATCTTAGTCTTATCTGTTCTATTTTTTTACGATTGCTAATGATACTACTAGGGCTTATTTTGCTTCGCCATGAACGCCGGGGAAGAGTTTCTGTCATCATGTGTCTGGTTTCTATTATAGACAGACCGCAGACTCGAGGCTTACCATCGTATCGTGTTTCCTTGACGTGTCTTTGCGATGATGTTTTCCCCTGGCTTGGCTCGGTCTTGTCGCTACGTACCGCACGACGGTTCTTGGCGCACGGATGGATGCACGGCCAGACAGACGCTTGATTATTTTCTCAATGTGTTTCCACTGTTTGTCTTTCTTTGCACTTTCTGTTGTCCTCTTCTCTTCTTTTCTTCTTTCTTTTTTTCTTTTCTTTCTCTTTCTTTTCTCCTCCCTTCTCCTTCCTTATCTTCTGTGTCTCAATTTCTCATTCTCTCTTCTCAATTACCTCCTTCTCTTTTCTCCGCAATTTCTTCTCTCCTCAATTCCTTTCTTCTCTCTTTTTTCCTTTATTATGCCTCCCTTTTTTCCATTATTTATCTTACTCTCTCCTGTACCTTCCATACACCACCTTCCATTTTCCCTCCATCCCTCCCTCGTGGGGTTCCTACATTCCCACCCTCCCTTTTCCCTTCCTCCTCCCTCCCTCCCCCCTCCAACCTTCTTTCCATTTTTCTTCACCTCCTTTCCTCGTTCTGTCTTCCCTCTGCTCTTTCCTTCTCGCGTTGCTTTCTTCATTCTTTTCTTTCCCTCCCTCCCTCCCTCCCTCCCTTCCTCCCTCCTCCCTCCCTCCCTCCTACCTTCTCTCTTACCCTCCCTTCTCCTTCCTCCCTCTTTCCTCCCTCCTTTCCTCTTGTCTCCTTCCTACCGTCCTTCCTTCCTAGCATCCCTTCCTCCCCTCCTTCTCTTTTCGCCTACCTTCCTTCCTTCCCTCCCTCTTTCCCTCCTTGCCACATAAATGCCCTCACCACCGCGCTAGTGCCAGTCCTCCGATGCCAACTGAGTGCCTAACAATGGGTAGCTGAGCGCAGTCATTGCCATCAGTGTTGACAACTGTATGATGTATTTTGCGTTAGTCTGTTGGATCCGAAAAGCGTTGGCAGGGAAGTTCGTTTGTGATTTTAAGCCGATCTTCGTCGCTTTGGTTGATTTTTGTTTGTTTCTTATAGCCTCTCTCTCTTCTCTTTTTATTATATTTCTGTGCATGCGGGAATATTATTATTATTATTATTATTATTATTATTATTATTATTATCATTATCATTATTATCATCAACTCGCTGTTTTTTCCGATTCTCAACCCTTTTTTGGACCATTTTTTATATATACTTCCTCTTTCCTTGTGTTTATTATGGTTAGAAATAATGATGATGATGATAATGATAAGGATTTTGTTATCATTATTATTATTATTAACATCTCGCCTTTTATTTTTTCCGTAATATTTTTTTTTCTGTTCTGTGATCATCTCTGATTTTCCTGATCTTTTTTGAACACGAAGCATGGTTAGTGCGCATTTACACTGCAGCATCAAGTATATGGTATATTGCGACCCCCCCCCACACACACACACACACCACCTCCACCCGTACCACATCCTCTTTCCACAGCTTGTCTTAAATCTTCGACACACACACACACACACACACACACACACACACACACACACACACACACACACACACACACACACACACACACACACACACACACACACACACACACACACACACACACACACACACCACACACACACAAAAAAAAAAAAAAAAAAAAAAAAAAAAAAAAAAAAAAAAAAAAAAAACGGAAAGTTCACCCTATAGAGACGTTTTAATCGCCATCCGTCTCAGCGCCGGGCTCATTTCTTGGATGGGCGGACGTGCTGAAGGAACTAAAAGAGCCCAAGAATTCCGGAAAAGTGACTCGATTCGCCATTTTCCGTTGTTTCGCACGCCGCCGGGGCTCCGCGGGTCGTTCGTCGTGGGCCTCTGCGAACGACGGACTTGTTCTGCTCAAGTCGGCGTGAAACTTTCTTTTCTTTCGCTTTGCTTCTCTCTTCTGTTCTCTTGTTTTGTTTTCTATTATTTTTTTATTTTGTGTTCCCTTCTCACATTTTTTTAAATGTTTTTCTTCTATTCTCTCTTAATTTCCCCTTAGCCTATCTTGTTTTTTCGTTCTTTATGTCTTGTTCCCTCATTTCTTTTTTTTCATTCCTCTTCCCTCATTTTCTTTCCACTCCTTTTTCCCCATTTTCTTTCCTCTCCTCTTCCCTCATTTTCTTTCCTCTCCTCTTCCCTCATTTTCTTTCCACTCCTCTTCCCTCATTTTCTTTCCTCTCCTTTCCCTCATTTTCTTTCCTCTCCTTTTCCCTAATTTTCTTTCCTCTTCTCTTCCCTCATTTTCTTTCCTCTCCTCATACGCTTTTTCGTTTTCTAATCAGCTCTCTTCTCTCCATTCTTTTGTCTTGTCCTTCTCTTCTCTTCCTCTTTTCCTGCTCTTCTCTTCTCTTCCTCTTTTCCTGTTCTTCTCGTATCTTCCTCTTTTCTTGCTCTTCTCTTCTCTTCCTCTTTGCCTGCTCCTCTCTTCTATTCTCTTCTCCTCCTCTTTCCCTGTTCTCTTCTCTTCCTCTTTTCCTGCTCTTCGCTTCTCATCTCTTCCTCTTCTCCTGCTCTTCTCTTCTCTTCCTCTTCTCCTGCCCTTCTCCTCTTCTCTTCCTCTTTCCCACGCTACCCGATCGCGCTCTTTTTGGAAAGATGACATCATTCCAGCCAGCGGTCTATAATGCTCGTTTTACTGTCTCCATTGCAGCCTCGCCTGCAGCTTCGCTTTCAAGTATTTGGAGTTGTGACGTGTTTTTACATCTCGTTTCTTGTTGCTTACGAAAATGGTTTAATGGTGGATTCACGATTGGATAGGTGGGTGGATAGGTAGGTGCAGGTTAGAAGTCGTGTAGGTTTTGTTTGTGCTAGTAGTAGTGGTGCATTTATGTGGATAGATGGATGGATAGGTAGATGCAGGTTGGAACACGCTGGCAGGTTCTTTTTTTGACGTAATGTTATACATGTTTTTTTATAGATTGATTGATAGATAGGATAGATAGATAAGTATACGTTGAAAGTCGTAATACTGGGGAAAAAATTACATAATAGCAAAATTCCACAAAAACATCGACGGTCATTGTACCCCCCCCCCTTCCCCGCCCACCCGTCTCGGATAGCATGTTATTTAGCAATCCAAGTCGTTTCCTAAGTCGATCGGGAACGGATCACACGGTTTCGTTAATGACGTGATTCGTCCTTGTGTAATTGCGTGATTCCTTCCCGTGATTTCAGCTCGGAGGCATCGGGTAGATCCGGCACACAGTTCCCACGACAAAGTGCCAATTTGGGGTCACACACACGCACTCGCACACAAATACGCACACGCGCACTCTCTCACTCTTACTCTCTCTCAGTCTTCTTCACTCTTACTTTTCTTCTCTCTCTCTCTCTCTCTCTCTCTCTCTCTCTCTCTCTCTCTCTCTTCTCTCTCTCTCTCTCTCTCTCTCTCTCTCTCTCTCTCTCTCTCTCTCTTTCTCTCTCTTTCTCTCTTTCTCTCTTTCTGTCTTTCGCTCTTTCGCCCTCCCTCCATCTCTCCCCATCTCTGCCTCCCTTCCTCCTCCCCATCACTCTCTACGTAAAGAACCTGTTCATTTAGCGTTTGTGCTTTGAGATATGGAGGGGGGGGGGTCGTGCGAGGTCGTGAGGGCCATGAAGGGTCGTGATTGGCTGCGTAGTTAATGGTAGTTCGTGAGTACGTGGTGGCCTTCGACGGCAGTACAAAACATATTAAGCCTTCTCTGTAGACTGAAGTACTTGTAGTTTTTTTATTTGTTTATTTTCTTTTCATTTTCTATGTAAATCATCCTACTAAGCTTGTGAATGGTGTTTTTTTTTGTGGATGATGTATTTTTTTCTGTAATGTAAGGCCTCTTGTTAAGCTTCCTCCGTAGACTTAAATGCTTGCGAACTGTTTTTGATGTTTTATTTTGATTTTTTGTCTTCCTACTAAGTTGTCTCTGTAGTCTTCAGTACTTGTGTTATTTTTCATTGTAATTTATTTGTTATGTAAGTCTTCCTTCTTGGCTGGCCTAGTAGCCTTACGTACTGGTGTATGACGTTATATATTTATAAGTATTCCTACAAA